ACCTCTGCATCACTAATTTAATTATAACTTAATCGTGTACATGCACCAAGTCATCTCGAACTGATGACCTAGTAACAAGTTTGACTATTTGATTGGTCTAGATGGGAATCGAAATTACATGCATATATTATGATATAAAGGCTTTCTTATATCTTGAATTAATTTCGTATCTCATTTTAAAGATTTTGTGGTTTATTCATTTTAATTCTTATGGAAATAGTAGTATTAGTTCCGATTTAATCTTGTTTATAGTATTTTTTAACCTTTTTATTATTATTTCAAATGGCAGGCTTTATGATATTTATCATTAGCCCTTAGTCTTTGACTTCAGCTTTTCCCATGGGTGGGGGAGGGGGGGGGGGTACATATATAGCAGTTAATTAATAGCAGCTCTTCTGGGTTTCCGTCGTTGTTTTTGGGGCTGGACACCCAATCAGGTGGATCTCTATTTCCTTATGTAGGTTACATAGGGGACATGTTGGTTGTGTGTATACTCCTAATCTGTGAAGGTGTTTTGCCAGACAATCGTGTCCGGTACATAGTCTAAACTCAGCAACGGCTTCGATTCTTGGTCAGTTGGCTATGTCAGAGAGTGCCATTGTCCACTGTTTCTCCTTTGTTCGTTGCACCTTGAGGTCTTGAATTCTCTCCTGGTTAAGGTCTTCATTGTGTGGATTTTTTAACATCAGCTTATGGATAATGGGGTATGTTTGTAGTAGACATATAGCAGTGGAACGTAATGGGTTTGTGGGTAGAAGGATAACATAAAGCGACCATCTTGTCACTTCCAAATCCAACCGATTTGTGCCTTATTGTTGAGCCTATCTAGAGTTTCCCATTGTTCCAGCTCTCCTTTTTATCCTGTTTGGTAACTTAAGCGCTCTCTTCATAATGTAAGTTTATTTGAGATAGGAGAAGTTTCTAATGTTGTTTGTATGTATAGAAGCCCTTAAACGATAGGTCATACCTATCGACATAATTTACTAAGCGTTTAAAACTTTCTTGCACGTTTATAAGTTTTATATATCACCAATTTATCTTTAGGTTGACTGGATTGTTCAGTTTGATCCTCCAGACGACCCCAAAGATTACATTCATCGTGTTGGACGTACGGCTCGTGCTGGAAAATCTGGTAGCGCACTTTTAATTTTGCGACCTCACGAACTCGGTTTTCTGGACGTCCTTCGTAGTTCACGTGTGACGCCTGTCGAATATGAGGTTGCTTCAAACAAAGTTGCTGATGTTCAATCCGCTTTGGAGAAGTTAATTTCCACCAATTATCTTCTTGCAAGTTCAGCTCATGAGGCCTTCAAGGGAATTGTGCGCTCATACAACTCTTCGAAGCTCGCCTGTTTCAATGTAAATGAGCTAGATCTCTCCGCTTTAGCGAAGACCTGTGGTCTTACTGTTATTCCAAAAGTCGATTTAGGAGTCGAGCCCTCGAAGAAGCTTGACGCTAAAAGGATGAAAAGGAAAGCCTTTGGAGCTGCAGCTGCATCTTCTTTTCAAACAAAAAAACGAAAAATCTACCAGAAGATCAATTGAAAACGTTTCATATGTAATTGTGTTTTTGTATATAAGAAGGTACATCTATTTGATCCAGTTAAACTCTTATCATCTAAGTTGCTGTTCTCTAAATTAATGAATAATTTTTACTATCTTTACTTGCTAATGGGTTGATTAGAGTGTGTTACTTTCCTAAAATATTCATTGTCAGCTTTAAAATGACCAACAGTTCAGCTGAATTTTCACCACAAATCAAGGCGGAAAGGGAGGGAATCGGGGATCCGTAGGAGGAGCTGGATGCATGTGGTGAAAGGGTCTATAATTGAACATCTGGTAACTTGGAGGGGGGGGGGGGGGGAA